GGTGAGAACGTGGAAAACCCTTAGAACCAGGGTGTGACACACACACAACAAGCCGTGATCGGCGCACAGACAAAGCGGTGGAGAACGGATCTTTTTCTCAAAAACCGCCTGCACGCGTGCAGGTCATGCCCTTTTTGGGCATATAGTTGGACCAGGGCTTCAGCCGCAGCGGTGGCGTTGTGGGGTGGAAAAGTGTATGTATCCTGGGATCTGCGGTGTGGAGCATGCGGAAGCTGATCAAACGGCTGCGGGTGAAAAATTAAAAGTTGAAAGATGGAACAATGCGCAAATCGATCTCATGACCTTGCAACACGGAGAGAATTCAGAATTGTTGGTGGGAAATCCGTCGTTTATAGCCCGGCGGCTCGAAAATCAGTTAATTCAGGGATAAAGTTGAACAAACGGAAAGGCAGTTATAAAAATGGAAAGTCGGTGATTTCCGGCATGATTTCAGCGCCTCCTTTCGGAGGGTCACACCCAGTACCCAAGTGGGAAGACTGAGCGGTCCACACTTCGACATTGGTTTTCAATTAGACTCAATTGCCACGATGGGAAGGAAGGTGAGGTAACCGCAAGGTGAATCAGTCCGTACAACAGTATTGTTGAAAAAATGTTTCCGAAAGCGCTCAAACGACAAGTGACGGTCGGCAGCTGCAATGCGGAAGGAAAATGGTTTGTGGGAAGTATCATGAAGGACCATGAATCAAAACGTGGAAAAGTGGGGTAACAGCTTGTGAAAGAACGAGCAGGTACGTCCAGCTGGCCAAGCTGGATATCCCATTTCACTGGTAGCTTCGTTGGACACAGTCCCAGTGAAATGCCGTGTCCCCCTGCTTCTGTGGAAAAAGTGGAACGCGCCTCTGTTACAGTGGAAAAGGTGAGAACGTGGAAAACCCTTAGAACCAGGGTGTGACACACACACACACATATACACACTGGGTGAAAAGCACATTTCTCTTTGGCACCCATAGATTAGGCGAACGGCCGGCTCTGCTGGTACGTATTGCATCCCGTCGCCCAAAAGTCGACACAAGAAAACACCTTCGGTTCTGACAAGATCCGACAAGTTAACATCACACAAAACGCTTTGCCAGCCAGAACATGCCCAAATCTCGCCTTGCGGTTGCCACCTTTGGACACAAAGTTCTCCACTTCGTCAGGTTTCCATTTATCCAGCCTCAAACTGTCGGCTGGTTTCCATATGTTTCCATGTGTAGTTGGTTTGTCGTGAAAAACAATCGTCGGATATACATCCTACTTATAGTCCTATATTTAATTGTGTACATATGTAAAATATTGACACAATAATAATATGTTAATATATATATATATGGTATCGTGCAGCCAGCCACTGCACTCCAAAAGGTTGTCTACCAGCATTGAACCAAAATCTGCTACACTTCGACCCCCCATCGACTGATTCAGCATGATGAAGCATAAAACATGTTGACTTGGTTTGACGCTTTGCATCAGCCAGCATCTTTCACAAACTGCTCCACACAAACTGCGCAGGATGCAGGCCCACAAACGGGCAGCCCGGCCCCAATGATTTCACCTTGGAGATGTGAGCCCCCAGGGAGCGATGCGTTCCAGCCTCGGATCCATCCGTTGCCCCATGCCAAAAGTGAACGAGCTATTCCCGGCACATGGAGCTATGCAATGCGGAGACTGTGTTTGACAAAGGGGCGCGGGTTTATTTGGAGAGTATTTGTGCGGTCCTGGTTTCTCTATGCGTAGGTGCCGTAGTGGCGCACCTCTGCTGCCTCCGCTGCAGATTGCATTTTGTCGAGAGAGACATACAAGTAGTGCTTCCGTTCCAAACTGTGACTTCCCCCAATCCACCTTGAGGGTTACCCGAGGTTACTTTATATAAAACATCATAAAACACAACAGTTATCGCTTTGAAGTAAAAACTGATTGATTGGCATCGAATACAACATGTTTATTATCCATAGATGTTTAGCTTTCAGGGATATCCCGAGGCCGGGAAATGCTTCCAACAAAGTTGCATCAAGACATGATCCAGCTGCACTTCAAAACAACCTTGCTATCTATCAATGAAAAGCATTCCCCCAAACCACAATGTTGGTTTCGGCATGCTTCGGCCTCACAAGAGCAACATTAGCCTCGAAGCCTGCTAGTGCCGGGTCCATGGCGCGGTCTGCTAGTATTTGCACCGTTTGGACATGTGAGCTTTTGAGGTGCGGGAGGGGAGGAGGGCGCAGCACCTCCCCCAACGGAGCAGACACAGTGCCAAGTAATGCAAAAGAATGTACAAAACCCACAGAAGCAACGTAAGCTTGAGAAACACATCAAAGGCGACAAGGCAAGAACAAAACAACAACTGTAGGAAAAGCATAGAAGGCCAAAGAAGGAAAAGAAAAAAACAACACACCCACATTCAATATGTGTGATTTGTTCAATGATTTTGATATGTTGTTTAATCTTCAAATTTTTGTTAGTTGATTTAATGCGATGTTTAAAGTTTAAAGAACCTTCATCCGGATTACATTCAATTAAATTAACAACGTTCGAACACCTGGCATTTATCAATAATACCTGACTTGTACAATTCCTTTTCAACCAAATTTTCGGCTTGAAAAGCCAAACAGCAACAAAGGTCACAAAAAGCAAAAATGAAGCAAACCAAATAAATACGCCAAAACATCCAGAAGCGAAGAAAAGCATGAGAAAAGCAAGGAAAAGCCAGAAAAGCACAAAAACACAGGAAAAGCATGAGAAATCACATAACCAAAAAAAGAACCAGAAGCAGGAAGCACGGAGAAGCAAGTCCAAAACAATATCTGAACAAAGGCAACCATTTGTTGAAGAAAACATGTGTTAAAGACATCATTTGACACAAATTGAGATGCTGCAAGTAGTAGATAGCTTGAGCAAAGTAGTTAATTAATTCAAACGGTTGCAGAACGGATCAATTTTATACGAGGGGTAGCGATGGTGCGGAGTGCCTCAACCTGACTTTCGGTCAACTAGACCCTGCCCATTGCAGGACAACGAAAACATCCGACACTGGGGGGCCTGTTCCAGGCCGTTGAAAAAACATTGGGCGTATCTGCCTGAAAGCTGTGCAGGGCTTCCAATCACAGGAGATAAAGAAAGCATGCCTTTATATATATATATACATAAGATTACAATAGATTACATAAGTAGTTATTATGCGCATTTTCTGCATATATATATATACACACACGTACACACAGTACACTAATTGATGCATGAAAGTGATCTCAAGAATCCATTGCGAGCTTCTGACACATTTATTTCGTCAAAGGTCCTAGCTGGTTCCACTGCCCGCTCTGCCAACAGGTTGGACTGCTCAGCTGCCCAACACAGTCGATGCAAATCAAGGTGCCCTGGTTCACCGACGCCCTCAGCAGCGTGGATTGGATGCCAAGGAGAATGAGAATACCCCAAACAACAAATCCAAGTGGTGAATCATTCTAATCATTCCAACAGTACTCGTCAGATCCGACAGCGGAGGATGGATCGGATAGCTGCGAACCATTCGCGCGTCCGTGGGGTTGAAGAGAAGAGGCGTCCTCGTTCGTCTGTTGCGTCCTTCTCGGGCTCGAGTCTACGTCGCGGTGCTCAGCCCCAGGCCAATCGGGCCGTGGTGCCCCACAGTCGGCACACTCCTGGCACGAAAGCAAACACATCAGGACGATGCAGGGGGGAACAACTTAAAACCATGTGTTCCATCATGGTTCTGGTTCCATCTTAAAACCTTCACCTGCACATGAAAAATGGAAGGAACAACTCATAGTGTCATAGAGAAATATCGCGTTGGTTGCTTGGTTGCTCGGAGTTCCGGGGAGTGGAACTGTGCCATCTGCATTCCCTGGTGTCACGAGCTTCAAAAGATTTGAACTTGGAACTCACTCTACGACAAAGGATGGCCCTAAACAAAAGCAAACTGTAGCCTGAATTGGCATGCAAGGATTTGCGTGAATGTTGGAAAACATGTGTCAGTGGGTCCGGAAACAGTACCATTCCGCTTCGGCGTTTCGCCTGATTCTCGGGTAGGGCTGCATGCCTGGACACCGTCGATGCAGAATGGTGGCCTTTGCAGGTCCCTGTTTTACAAAGGACGCTCATCTGGGTGTGATTTTCAATTGGTGAACTGACAAACCTTTCTGAACACTGGATATCTTCTACTTTGATCTACTTGGTGTGTTTGCTTCCCGAAGACATGTCGGGATGATCCGAGATGAACATCAATCTTGAGGATTCAGTTGGCAGAAGGAATCTCTGGTGGGAGGGATCAGTGTTTTCTGATTTCTCAGTGTTTGCCAAGCTCGGGGAACCACATTTTGAGGACATCTTGGTTCTGGGCTGCAATCTTTTGAATATTGTTTGTTGATCAGTGGTGTCTGCACATAATTCTATACTCCAAGGGCAAAAGTCCGCTTTGTCTGGTTCTTGTTACCGCCAAGCCTTGGCCTTGAAACATTCCCATCTTATGGCGCCATCCATCTTGTCATATAGTTCATAGGTTCCAACAAGAGGCACCAACACCTGGACACACTTGGATGGCCCACCAATCCCCAGCCCGCCCCGCACTCTTCCAGAGACAGTGCTTTCTTTGAGCCTTTGACCTGACGAAAGAGACCCTATGGACACCCTGCAACCTCACTCACATCAAGTGCCTGAAAAAAACTCTTGGTTGTTGGAGTCAGCAATGTCTGATGATAACTGGAGTTCTAAATCATATGCCGACTTCACGTCCCGGCCAGACTTCCCAAGTCGCATCGGATACTCCAACACAGTCTCGTGGTGGGAAAATCACATCACTCACGCCAGGGACTCCGCCAAGTCATATGTGACTGGGTGCGAGGGACCTGCGTACAGTTACTGCAGGACGCAACAATTGAGATCCACAACACGGGTTCGTTCTTGTCCCTCTGTGTGTTCCCGTGGACCATGGTGTTGCTATATAAAAGGAAGCCGTCTCTATAATGAAAAAACAGGTATAGTTAAACACCCCATAAGGGTCCAAGTGTGCTTTGAGGATGTGCTTTCCCAAATTCAGAATGGGCTTTGAATTGTCATTGCTTGAGGATGGGGTTGGGCTCAAAGCCCAGGCCGGGAGAAAGATGTACTGCGCTAGGCTATGCTAAGAATACTGAGCCAGGCCACCAAAACTCCAGCACGCATATTGAAGTCGACAGAAAGTTGAGAAGAGGGAGACACGAAAGGTAGGACAGCTGGAAGGTGCTCCGGGGGAATACACTTGCGCCCCAAAAGAAGCTTGTTGTTCCGATGATGTGGGTCCACTTCGAGACGACGTGGGGGAGGTCTGTATTGAAATATCAATGCGCAAGCGGGGGGGTAGGAGTAAAGTCCGCCGACCCCGGTCCAGGCCCAGGAACGTGAGCGAGAGCGGAGTGGGGTCGGCGTGTTCCTGTTGAGGGACTCCGGTGAGCGGTAGGGGATGTTGGTCAGCCGTCACTTGGACGAAATCCTATGTTTCGTTGACATTTGCTCACTTTTCTAGAACACTGGGGACCGTCAGGATTCTTTTTCTCGGTAAAAGCGGTGTCCAGGCTGGGGTCCCGGGTTTGACTCCCCCCTGCGCATCCCGGACCCGGTGTGGCACGCACGCCGGACCCCGTCTTGCACGGCGCGCGCCGTGCCAAGGCGAAGAGAAGGAGCACGGAAAGGCCGCGCGTGCGAGCGGGGTATCGAGTCATATATGAAGTTCAACATGAGTTCCTTTTCGAATGAAGCATCTCCGACTATTCCATGTCGGATGCAACATGCACATGCAGGTTGAGTGTGGTGAAAACCCCCCAATCCTCGATATGTTCCTCTTGTGCCAAACAAGTCACCAAAGTGTCACAAATCCAGGTGCCGTGGACGATTGGGGTGCTTGGTTCGATTTGTGGCCGATGGTTCCGCTGAGACGATGAAGGGTTGTGAGAATAGTCCTGGACAGGCCCCTTCCGCAGGATAGGCCCCCATCGAAAGTCTATTCTGAGGATATATCCAGGATCCCCGAGCTCCTAGGACACACAAGCAGGAAGGCCAGGCGGTAAGGCCATGTAAGGCCTTCCTATATTGCTAAATTACATCACAACACCATGGTCCACTTGAAGTCTTGCCGAAGCCGTCGGGAGCTGATCCCAGTTACCATCAATGAAATCCACCTGTTTCTGTTTGTTCGACTGGATTTCGGGGATGAATGGCGGTCGCTCGGGTTCCTAAAAAAACATTTGACCCAGTATTGACCTGCCACTATTGATTGCCAATCTTCTTCAAGACTACCCAATTGGTTTTTGCCCTAGCGGCTATTGTCGAACAAGTAATGGTTGGATGTGGTTGCTGGCTCTCTCTTGTTAAAAAGAGCAACTCTGAACGTGTGGGAATGGTAAGATTGCTAAGACATGATTGAACTTTCTACTCATCACTCAAGGGAAGAACCGCTTCGGGCAGCCGCCTCTGGTGGTGTCTTTGCACCTTAGCCCATCGTGGTGGCGACAGCAAACTCTCGAACTGCTGGTCGCCGGGACATCCATTTTGCAACACTTGCCCAAGAATTTGGCAGCCATTGGCGAGCCGCGCCAAGCTCAGTCAATCCATGGAAGTCAGTGGATTCTCCAATCCATGCCATCTGCATATGTTCCCCTCTCGTCCCCCTGCCCAGTCCTCCATCCGGCCAGGTCCTCCGGCCTGGCCATGCAGTGACCTCGCTCGGTGGCTCGCTGGCGTGGCGTCGCGTCGCTCTCGCCCATGATCCGCCCGAGTCGCGTCGCGAGGCCGGGCCGCCCGGCCACGAAGCTTTCGATGCTGGGCGTGTAGGAGGGCGTCAGCGAGGGACCTGGGCGGGGGGTCAGGGTGTAGGAGGAGGGCCATGAAGGCATCAATCAAATGAACAAGTCGCAGAATTTTTATCATACGTTTGACACCAAAGACCCAGCAGCCATGGAGATCATGGAGATGCATGAGTCATCATCCCATATGCCATTTGATACCCCACAGCCCAAACACTCCATGTATGGAATGTATGCCTATATTGATCTCTGAAGCGTAGGCATATATGCCATATATGGAGTGTTGGGGCGCTGGCAGGGCCACAGCGATCTTGGGTCCCATACTCCTGTTGCTGAGCTTTGCTTCTGGCACCTCCACCCAGACCAAAACCAAACAGAAGGAAGCGTTTTTCCTAGTCTTTCCTGTCAAGGTCCAATCAGCGTTGGTATGAAGTTAATGAAGTTGAGTGGAAAAGCACGATTCTTTGGGATTTCGCTCGCTGATCCTTCCGTATCAAGCAAGAGTTGCTCCATGCTCCCGCCTGAATGAAGCTTCCACCGCCTCAGTTGGATCACCCGAAAGAGCGCACGATCGAACAGGACTGCGTCCACTGGACATGTGGCCAAACGCGCCATCTATAATATGGTTTGGGCATCAAAATCAACCGCTCAAAACCTTGGGGGATGGTTGGCGCAATTACTAAAAACCGAACCATCCATTTTGAACGTCTGTTCAAACACATCATACATTAATTCTTTCATATGTTGGAAGGTCTGTATGGAACCTCATGCTTCATCATTCTTCCAGTGAATTGATTTCTCCGGCCAATTCCGCGGACCCACCCTAAAGTTTAAGGACGCGGGTCCCTAGCCCACGAGCCCACTGTGGCCTTCACCAAAACTCAAATCGCACTGGAGCTACCGAACCCGAACACGTCAAAAGGCCCGGTATAGGTACGAAGATGTACGAAGCGCATTTGGATCCTCGGCTCCTCGGACGTCTTCCGAATCACTAGGACTTCTCGCTCGGCAGCGTCATGGTGGCCCCGTAGGGCCGGCGACTGGCATCGGAACGGACCGACCGAACAGTTGGGTTCGATTATAGTGATCCCATGTGATCCCCAAATATAGGTAGAAACAATATATCAAAACATAGTTTCCAATGCATTTTTAGTTGGGACCTGCTTTATCTAATTTATTTGGGGTATATATATATATATGAATAAACCGTGCTTGGTCTCTTGAGACACGAATCCCCAAGCGGAAGCAGTTTCGTTGAAAACCGCTCTGGGTTCCCGTCCGTGGTGGTGTGAAGCTCGGTCATCCCCACAGTAGTCCAGTATACACTTCCTGGAACTAACTGATCAGAAATCCCATGAATACCCGTTTGTAGAGGAAAAGAGTTTTTCAAGGGGCCATGCCATCCACTTCCATGCTAGTTCCAGGGGTGTAATTCTTTCGACCAACTCCTGCTAGACACAAAGATCTGTTTCGGCTTCCTGCAGTGGTGTCAAACATGGTTCGATAGCAACTTGCTTTGAACTGTAAATCATGACCACAAGCTGTCGTCTGAGGGTGGGCTACCCCCAAAACATCAAAAAGACATCAAAAAGGCTACACGTAAGTGTGTTTCTTGTTGTTTCACCCAACCCTTTCGTTGATTTGACCTACTGATTATTAATATGACGCCTTAAAGGAGTTTTGACCCGAATCCAAGGTTGCAATTTCTGCAGGTCTATGGCTAGTCTGAGATTTGAATGCTTTTGACGTGAAATGGATGCAATATGGCTAGTCACAGTGCCAGAATGTGACGATGTTTTGTCTATCTAGGCAAATGTCATTGGTCCAATGCTGTTCCAATGGCAACATATCATTGCCCCAACCAATCAGTCCAGATGGCCCTAGGAAATGAGTGCAACCCCCTGAACCGATTTGGGCCCTTGTCTCTCAGAGGTCTAGGCTCCCAACGTATATCACGGATCACAAAATACTATACGCATGACTGAAAGAGGCCCTCACGAACAATCATCCACTGTTACAGGTTGGGGCAGGGTCCGGGTACAAAGAAGGACGACCCAAGATTAGAAGGAGAAGGCAAATGCCACTGCAAATGTGGACACAGTAGTCAAACTCTTCAGAATCTAGAAAACTTGAGTTGCCATTTTGGAAGCGAATTATCACCCTGCAGCCCACATCTGGGGTTGGCTGCCAAATGAGATCACATGCCCTCCACTGTATCAGCTGAACCCCATGGGTTGGGGGTCCCTCCTCCTCCGAAAAAAATGATGGTGACCAAGCGCAGCGCTCCGTCCTGGGCGGGGTGAAGCTCGTCTCGGGTGCTGGCACCCAACTTCGACTACCTGCAGCTGGGCATGGACCCTTTGAGTCCCCGACCACGGAGCGGTCCGAAGACCAGCGGCTCGCTCCGCGGCTCGCTGCACACCACTTAGGGTGATGGACCGGTGGAGAGGTTGGAGCACCCGGACGAGACTGTAGCACCCGGCCGGGACACCCGGTGACACCCGTGGGGGCACCGACATGGCACAAGAGGTGGGCGGAGGTGGGAATGTGCAGAAGAACGACGCAGGCGGAAAAGCGCTCGGAATCTGCGAGGCAAGCCCAAAGATTGATCCATGTGAAGCAGAAAGGGGCGAATCAGTTGAACGAAAAAGGATGAGAGATGATTCATTATGTTAGGGGTACATAGGAGTACCACCCCTTGGATGTTTTCTCCATGCTGAGGACACCCATTTCTGCCCTTGCGGGTTTGGTCTTGAAGGATAGAAGGAGAGAACAAGGATGAGACCGGGTAGGCTATTTGAACGACAACTATCCCGGACACTGGTGTGCATCGCTACTAGTAACAAGAAGCTCCTAGTAGCGATGCCCTTGTTACTACTGGCTGCTAGCTTCTTGTTGCTAGTAGTAAATGCCCTCGATACTAGTAGCGATGCCCGTACGTGCGACCAGGCTCCGGCTCGGCGTGAAGGATTCCGTGCCTGTGGCCGTGAATGGAGGGATATAGCTCCCTTCGCTCCGTCCCGTCCTGGTCAACGAACGCACGCAACGAGCGCAAGAGGCATGAATCCAAGTATCCGCCCTGGTCAAATCAGTCCAATTCATACGATAAAGCTAAGCAATTAGTGGGGCAACATTTTTTTCAACCCTAAAACATTTTTTTCCACCCTAACCTTTTTTTCAACCCTGCAACATTTCTTTTTCACCCTCGAACATTGTTTTTTGACCCTGTCACATTCTTTTTTAGCCCTTGTACATGCTTTTTCGACCCTGGACCCTTCTTTTTCAACCCCGTCCATTTGGGCCCACGTTCGATTTGACCTAGAAAGCTTCTTTGGTCTTTGCTCCTAGTAGCGATGCCAGGAGCCCCTAGTAGCGTCCTTGCTCCTAGTAGCGATGCCCTTTGTTCTCACTTTGTTGCTCTGGTTTGTCGCGTCATGTGTGGTGCTCTGGTTTGTTGCGGTTCGTGTCGGCTGCTGGTTTTCTAGCTGTCGGCTGCAGCGGTGGCTGCCAGATCTCTTCGAGCTTCATTCATCGGCTTGCACCAATTCAATTTGGTCCAGATTTCTCTTCCATGTGCGCAGGAGAAGTCGCATGGGTGAGACGCTGACGCCGGCCCACTCCACAAGCCAATCGTGATGATGTTTCCTATGGTCGCTGGTGAAACCAAGGGGACCATTGAAGAGAACCTGAATTGAACAACACACGCAAAGGTCTTCAGGTGGAGCTCCCGTGATCTTTTGTTTGGGGAAAAGAGAGTTCACCCGGATCTGCAGAGATCCCAAATGATTCGGGCACCATCACTGGCAGGGCCACCAACGACCTGCAAAATTTAGTGGGTCGCAGAGCCGAGCGTATCGCTTGGTACAACGCTCTCTGGTTCATCTGTGGCTTGAAGTCATCGGTCTTCAAAGATTCGATCACCAGGCACTTGGTTCGCCAAAGCACTACAGATGCACCCCTTGAACCTCAGCGCCAATCGGCATAAGTGCGCAGGCTCCCTTGCGCCATTTCTTGCGCAAGGTGCGCGGAAACCGACGCGCGGATCAGAGCAGCCAATGCCTGGCAAGACTGGACAGGGTGCCAGAAGGCCAGTGAGAGAAATATAACAATGGGTCCAAGAAGCAGTGGAGATGAATCCCATGGCCCAAAACAGCTCAAACCATTGGAATGCGTCGGAGTCGTGCATCTTCATGAAGTGCTCATGGCTCACGGCAATCAAACAAGTCGTCTGGGCTATTTCCGAAAGCTCCATGAAGCAATCCCCCCTGTGAAAACGCGACCCAAGAAAGACCCCTCAAATGGTTTATATTGTACGCAAAGAAACCCACTATAAGAGTACAGTATATACTTAATTATAGTGGGACCATAGTATACACATAATCCATGGCTTACAAACAAAACACGCGACCCCCTAGAGAGCCCCAGAAACTCGTCCGTGCGACTGGACGACCACCTCTGTCCGTTGGGTCCAGCTCTGTCCGGCGAGTCAAGTGCGCTCAGGTGGAAGTTCGTACGTCCGAGGAAGAGACTTTCGTGGCGCTGCCGTGGTGCCCCCGTGGGCTGTATGCTCTGGAAGAGACCCACATGGAACATGGAACATGGACCATGCGATGTTGTGGCGCAGGCCCTTTGGCGCATGCACCCTCGGGATGGGAAGAATAAAAAGGACAAACCTCTCAGGCTTTCAGGCCTCTTACGACGATTGCTGGGGGACCGGGCCAATCTGCCAAGTGGTGCACCGGCTGCCGCTAGTGCGTCAGTTCAAAGAAAAGGAGAACTGGCTAGGGCTGACAGAAGAAAACTCTATATATAGAGTCTAATGTTCCAAGGTGTGAACTATGCACTGCACTGCAACTTTGCTAGCAAATCTGGACGAACTTGTTTGCTTGTATGTTTACTGTGGCTACCCAGAGCCAGCAGCCACTGCCAGACAAGCACAGTTTCACGACATGTTCATGTACGCTGGCCTATCGAGGTCTTAACAAGAAAACTAGACCGAGGTCTTAGCAAAGGACCGAAACAAGACCAAAACCTCACTGAAGGAAAACAACATCCCGGTAAGAGTTCCATGCTGTGTTGAGCGCCTACCGAGTAGAAACTGAGGTTTGAAGCCTGCTTAGGCCTTACTAATGTCTGAACATAGGTTTCAATAGGGGGGCCTGGGTGTAGGAGGGCGTGCATAGTAGCCATGATATTCGGGATTTCAGAGGGCTCGGTCTGTTGTGACCATTTGACAATCTTTAAAAAGTGCACCAAGCATATTTGTTCTGGGAACATGTCGCCCGGAGCGGCGATGTTGTGTGCGCTGCCGACTCTTTCTGAGCACGAGCACGCATCCAAACCAGCAGAGCAGCAACAGCTAAGCAAAAAGGAAGCGCCGGCACAAACAGCGGCAACAGCGGCGGCGGCAGCAGCGGTAGCAGCAGCGGCTGCAGCACAGCAAAGCAGTAAGCAGCAGCACCAGCGGCAGCAGCGGAAGCTGCAGGTGGAGGTTGGCAGCAGCCAGCCAGCAAGGCCAAAGCAAAAGGAAAACGGTGGAGAAGGACCAGCAGCGATAGCAGAATAGGGCGGCCGAATCATTCGAGCTTCCGACGAAGGCGTCTACATCCTAGGACTGAAAGGCCAGCCCCCCACGGTGCGACCCAGGGTTAGAATAGCGTGTCATAGGGTTGAAATAGCATGTTTATGGGTTGGAAAAAAAGGTTCAAGGGTGGAAAAAACATGTTTCCAGGGTGAAAAAGGCATGTTTCCAGGGTGAAAAAAAAGGTTGGAATATAAGGACCATGGGTTGATTTAGTAGGGGTTACATTTTTTTCCAACCCAGGGTTGAAAAAGCGTCTTGGAGGGTTGAAAAAAAAGGTTAGGGTTGAAAAAAAATGTTGGAGGGTTGAATAAACATCCAGCCCCAATTAGTGTGCTAGGCAAGTACATTATGCCACATTCAGAACTCAGGCTTACATAAACGCTGACATCAACCAAAACATTATGCAAGTACGTTACAGGCTACAGGTCCATGCTTTCTGATTGATTGTAGACAATGTACCCCAATGCATACCCTTGGCACAAATTCCGAACCAACCTCTGCACCATTTGGAGTGCTTTGTGCCAGTTCGATGAAGCACATGGTTCGACGCTATGTGTTGTAAATGAAGAGACTCGTCGGCATCCCAATGAAAGCTTGGTTGCAAAAGCGAAAAGAAGGCGAACACCAACGTCCCGTCTCACTGAAGTTCCGAGTTTTCGCTTAGTCTAGACAGTCTAGCGATCGGTCGTACCGATGTTCCGCCGAGACCGAACGAGTACGCCCAGTCTCGGCACCGTACGGGAAGTGGAATTGGAGATGACCCTTTTCCATCACCAAACAGGCGTCCTTTGGTTAATCTATGGTATCCTAACATTGTTTGATTTGTGATGGTTTTCCCCATCTTTTCCACGTCACCAAACAGGACCCGGGCGCCATGATCCATGATGATTTCAGCCTATTTCAGTGTACCCCGGTCCGGCCCAAGACGTCCGGCCCCGGTCCGCACCCTGCACCTGACGTCCGCGTAGCGGAGCGGAACCGGTGTAGCGGTGTAGCGTGCCGTGCCGCCTCGGTGGAGCGACACCAGTGGTGGGGTTTTGGGACCGAGCCAAGCTACGGAGCCAAGTAGCAGCTACGAACGAAAGGGCATCACGACTTCTTCGTCCGGAGCCTTAGAAGCTACCGATCATCATCGAAGCTACTGATCTGTGATCTGTTCGGCCTTCCATCTGGAAGAAACCCGGGGTGCCTTTTCTGACCCAAACGAAAATGCCGATGGTGTCTCTTGTCCATCCAGAGCAATCCCAACCAAAACATTTGTCGAGTCTTGTGTCCATTGGAAAAGGTCAATGAGGTTCTCACCAACTGGTCCAAAGGGGCTGTGCAAAGGAGGGGTCCAGCCACAGCCAGCCATGCAGCATCATGCAGCCATGCCGGGAGTGACTTAGACACAATCAGGGGCAACTCATCAGGGACCATCGCCACGAAAGAACACTTTTGAAGTGTTTTGGTGATATCTATCTCAATTATCTCACCACCATGAACAGTGCAAGTCAAAAAATTGCCCTTGCAAAGAACATGCGACTCAAAGGACGGATCATGGCTGCTGATGTGTCCTGATATCACGAAGCTCCACCGCCGCTGCGCCTGGTCCAGGGGGTACATAGCTGCGATTGCCTGTACCTGCTTGAAGCAAATGTTACTCAACATCGCACAAACAAGCAGGTGAGCTCAGGAAGACTTGTCTCACTGCATCCCTTGCAAACCGCACATATTGTTTACAACATAAACAATTCCATCGTCCTTTGTAGTAGAAGCACTTTCGTTTCCCGTTTGGTTTCGTCATTAAAACCATGAAGGTCATGCTGGCGAGCTACTGGCTGCAACTGCAGGTATGTAGCTTGGGCTGCCTGCATGTAGCTTGCACAGCCACTCAACATGTCTTTTTTGTTGAATAATCGACCCAGGCAACTCTATGGCTTGGCTTCTTTTGCAAACAGCCTCGATCTTTTGCGCGGAGCCTGACCCTAGTGACCCCACGTCGCATGGCCCACTGTCGTCCCATGGCCGGTCTCCGTGACTTGGAGTAGCCGCTGCAGGTGAGTTCTACCAGAAGAAACTTCACTGGGAAGAAGGCACGGAAAATGGATGTAACTTCTTCCGACATCATATTATGCATCTTGAGGGCCACCGAACACCCAAAGTACCTTGTGACCACAGGGCAACTGAACGTGTGCAGTGTTCACCGTTGCTTTGGGTCTTGTTTTCCCCAAGGCTGGTCCACTTAGAATATGCCTGACACGTTATTGCCTTGATATATAGCGAAGCAAATCGCAACTATACACTGCCTCGTGCAGGAGGCACATAGCTCGGGCCACCTGCTTCTGCTTCAGAGCACCAGTGAGTAGTTGTTCACTCAAAATGTGTGCGGAGATGAATGAGGATTCTGCGCAAATTCCCAATATTCACTGCATCATCAGAGTACTGCCAGAGCTTTGTCATTCGGCCACCTGGTTCAGGAGGTACATAGCTTCCGCCACCTGCATGTGCTTGGGCAAGCAAATCAAAATTTGGGAAGAGTGCGGTAACACTTTGGTAAAACTCTGGTATCTAGTCACTGTGGCCGGACGAAACAAAACAACGCGGATGAAGGATGAAGAAAGACATGCTAGTCACGATTGGCTTGCAAGGCATACTCCCCTGAAAGCAATTCGCAAGGCCACATCTCAACCATTCTCACCTAGTGTGGCCACAACTGGCCAGGTATCACATAGGCAAACAGTGGCCATTGCTCATGCCTGTCACAAAAGGCGTGTAGCTCCATCCATCTGTACCTGCGCTGCGCACGCTGCGCGCAGCACCAGCCAGTCTGCTGAAATTCTACCGTAAGGGCACTCGCTAGTGCCAAGCATGGTGTAGTGTAGTGGATGGTCCATTCAATCCTACTTTTCAAGCATATTCAATCTGGTTTTAAGATGTCATAAATGAGGAGGGCGTTGTAGGAGCATTCTGTGCTGTTTTGCAAGGAACTGCTCGCATTTATTGGAGTTGCAAAAATTTATGTCAAAATCCATCTTCACCCATGTTAGTCTTCAGGCATATGATGGCATAAGCATCACAGTCTCACGGGATATCTGGCTGCAGTAGCGCACAGGAAAAAAGCCGAAACCCAGTCCGGCATCAACTGGTAGATCCTAATTTCATCCAACTGCAATCTTGATCATCTCCATCTTGGCCATCGCTAGTGGGTTGAAGGCCATCGCTGTTAGGTTGGAGGCCATTGCAATGAATAGGTTGGAGGCCATCGCCAGTAGGTTGGAGGCCATCGGTATTAGGTTGGGGACCATCACTATTATATAGGGCCTCCAAGGGTCTCTATGGGTCTTGGAGTCTCTCATGACCTCTCAGGAGACCGAACTCTGCATGCGTGCCTGTTTTTCCTGCTTCACAGGGTGCATAGCTTGGGCCACCTGCACCTTAACGGAAACACCAACTCTGTAGATGTCTGGTATATTGTGCTTTTCTTGGAAAGGCAGAAGCAAAGCGGAGCATGTTGATCAAACCTGCTGTGATGGACTAAATGAATTAACAATATTAAGAAGAAGATCCAAATGGTAAACATCTTTGCAGGTAGGCTATACAGGCTGGTAGGCATGTAGCGGATGGATCCTGGACAGTGGCAAGGCCATGATGTCACAGTAACTACCATTCATCAAGATCATCAAGGCCTTCGGCAGGGGGTACATAGCTCCGGCTCTCAGCACCTTGGTCCAGCAAATTTGAATGGATGCTTCACCTCTGCAAAAGTATGGTACCATAGTTAAATGATGTTGCATGCATGTTTCAGTTTTTTTAGCAGCTTAACAGGGCCATAGACCGCAGCCGTACAAACTCACTTTGGCAAGGAAACATTTCACGATGCCACCATCCAGTGCACACTTGTGGCAACTCAAGGCATCTGAACTCTGGCAATGTTTCCGAAGAAATGACTGCTGCATGGCGGACACCCCAAGCAAACAGCTACTCTCCAACGACGGCCTTGCACAGGGGGCACATAGCTCCGGCCGTTGGAACCTGGCCGTGCAGTTGCCGCGCTGCAACTGTTGCGGTCCAAGGTCACAAACAGTAAAAGGACGCGCGGCTTGGCAAGAGGTATCCAAGATGGCTCCGCCCGTTCCGCCCGTTCCGTGAGGGGTGTCGTCTTGTCTCGAAATGGTTGGACCTCGCGATGATCGCCCCCCCCCAAACCCACACGCTTTCGCACCAACGGCCTGCCAAATAGCTAGGCACATAGCTGATATAGCTCGAACGGTCAACGCCTGCGGGGTGAGAACACGGGGTGAAAAAACACATGTGGCAAGACAGCAATCAGATGAAGCTACTAGGGGCTCCTGGCATCGCTACTAGGACGTACTGATGTGGCATGAGCCCCAAAACTTGGTGATTGAGCCAAAATGTTCTTGTCGATGGCTGGAGGATATTCAAGGACTGGGTGAGGCATTGATTCCAACGCGTGAGGCTTGACAATAGAGATGGCCTCCAACCTAATAGCGATGGCCTCCGACCTAATAGCGATGCCCTCAACCTATATAATCGAACCTAGTAGCGATGGTCTCAAACCCAATAGAGATGGCCTCCAACCTAATAGCGATGGCCTCCAACCTGACAGCGATGCCCTCAACCTAATCGAACCTAGTAGCGATGGCCTCAAACCTAATAGAGGTGGCCTCCAACCTAATAGCGATGGCTCGGACCTAATAGCGATGGCCTCCAACCCAAAAGCCAAAAGCGATTGCCTCCAACCTATAGGGATGGCCTCCAACCGACTCCAACCTAATAGGGATGGCCTCCAACCTAATAGCGATGGCCTCCAACGTAATAGCGATGGCTTCCAACCTAAAAGCAATGGTCTCCAACCTGAAGCGATGGCCTCCAACCTAATAGCGATGGCCTCCTACCTAATAGTGATGGCCTACAACCTGATAGCGATGGCCTCCAACCTAAAAGCAATGGCCTACAACAACCTAAGAGCGATGGCCTCCAACCTAATAGTGATGGCCTACAACCT